AACCAAGTAAGATATCATTTGACTGATACATATACATAGGATTAGTCAATAAATCTCAATTATTGAGAAAATGGACCATAGATCCCATGGCAAATTAAATTCGATTTGTTCAAGCTTGATACGAATCTCTAAAACTTTTATCAAATTGCCAATAAATCATGAAGTTATAAGCTAAACAACTTGGTTACAGGTTGGCTCTGATACCACATGTTAAACTAACTATGTACATGTGAATGTACTACGTAGCGGAAATCTAAATACGCTTACCTCTAACCATTGTTGTCAAGTACAAGTTAGGGTCGTAATTGCCTCAAAAGATGCAAGTCTTACAATTCATTTCAAAAGAATTGAAATTGTGATTTTTATCCAAAACTAGAAATACATCTGTACTTCATTTGTTATGAGAATGATATGGATATTGATTATGCATGCGCAACTTATGCTTGGTGTGATCTTCTCTCTTAGCTTCCTTGAAGAAATTCCAAATAAAATGAATCTAATATATTAGCCTTACATAATATGCTTTATGCAAATTTGATCTATCTCATACAAGAATTTTGAATTTCAAAGGAAACATAATTTCAAAAAACAACTTGAATTAAGAATGATCTCTTTGTTCATGTATAAGCTTAAAAAACGAAGGATCATTATACCGTATTATATGGCAACAAAATTTTATAGTTTAAGCTTCCTTCCCAAATTCTAATGGCAAAGGAAACCACTGGAATCTAATTTAGAATCTAGTTTCAATCTTGTAAGGCATATTTAAGCATCATAAATGCAAGTGTTGAATCTTGAAAGAGAATTTGAGCTTTGGAGATGAAGAAACAATAATATACTTTATAATGCAGTAAACATGATGGAGTTGGTTGGTCAAAAGCTTGTCGATAGAAGAGAAGTAGTGAAAGTTATAGCGAGTTCACATCATGGATTTGTGGCAAAAGTTTTTTTATGCTAAAAATTTAGGAGATGTTTTCATATCACCTTGCTGTAGTAATAGCATAGCACGCAGAATAATAGAGAAGGTGCTTTTTATAGATGAGAAAATCATTCGAGGTGCTTTTCAAGTCAAAGAAAAAAAAAAGAACTTGACAAGAAGAAAAATTAGCACAAGAAAGAGGGTGATAGTATGAAACATAGATAGGAAAACAAACTACAGCTATCTCTCTCTTGGGAGTCTTTTTTCTCTCTTTTGGGAGTTGTGCTTTCTTCTTCTTGGGTGTGGGAGTTTATGTCTGAAAGGCCAAACAGTTCCAAAAAGTTTTCAAAAGCTCACTCACCCGAGACATTGAATTCCCAAATGCCTTGCTACCAACAAAATCAGATTATGTAGGGACCGGCGACAAATCTGTACTTTTGTCCGACAACCACTTACCTACCAACATCTTTTATGGCTGACAAATGAAGAGCATATGGGTACTGAAAACAGAGCTCATACCTGCACGGGTGCAACAACAACTGAGTCTTTCCACTCGACCGTTCCATTAGCTTTGTCAGGTAAAGGGTTAACATCTCCCTGCTGAACTTTGTCCGATCGTGTTTTTTTTGTCTCTTCCTCTCCTTTTTTTTTTCCTCTGGTGACTATAGTTCTTATTTTCTTCTTGCGTAAGTCTTAGGAGTAGTAGTCCTTCTTGGTCAGTAAAGGTCAGACTTTTCTCTTGCTTGGCGGGATCAGCTCTTGCTTAGCTTTGCTTTCAGTATCATAAGTTGTGTTTGGCTTTCCTGGGAGGTTTAGCATCGATGGCAGAGGAACTAGCTTCTATAATGCAGACGTTCGCACTCTCGGAACAAGAGTTGGGAGGTACAGCTCTTGAAATGGGAGATGCCAATTCGGGTATTCAGGAGTGCCAGCTGAGTCTGGTAGGCAAAGTGATAGGAGAGAAGCTGATTAATTTTGTGGGGGTGAAAAATTTCGTTAGCTTGGCTTGGGGCTATCCTCGTGGGTTGACTGTTATGGAGTTAGGACCTAACTTGTTTCAGTTTATCATTCCGAGTGCTACTGACAGAGAGAGGATTTTGAATGGAGGGCCCTGGTTAGTAGATAGCCAAATATTGATCCTCAGAAGGTGGTATAATGGGATAGAGGAGGACGATGGTGCTTTTAAGCTGGCTCCTTTGTGGTTACAGGTGTGGAATCTTCCTGTGCATTGGCTTTCGAAAGAGGTTGGATGGAAAATTGGATCCATTTTTTCAGATGTGAAGGAGGTTATAATACCCCAAACGGGAGGAAAGGAAGGGAGGCATTTGAAGTTGTTGGTGATTGTAGATATTTCCCGTCCACTGCCGAGAGGTTCAGTAGTAAATCTTAGCGGAGTAGGGAAATGGATTAGTTTCAAGTACGAAAGGTGCCCGGACTTCTGTTATGGGTGTGGTATAGTTGGACACAGTGAGAGAAATTGTAAAACTTCTTCTAGTTTAGGGAGAGGTCTATCAGATAACCAATACGGACCCTGGTTAAGAGGTACCTGGAATAAAGGAATTCCACAGGCTGAACAGTCCATAAGTAGAGGAAGACAAGATAAGGTGTTGTGGGGTTTTAAGGATGGGGAACTGGTGAGAAAAGGAGGAAGTGAGGACCCTCAAGGTTTGGAGATTGGCACGAAGGGAGGATATGAACAAAGGGTTATGAGGAAAGAGGTGCTACCTAAGGTGATAGAAGGACAGGAAAGGGAGGTCCAAGCATTTCCAAGTATAAGGAGCCAGGAGGATAGTTTAGAGGGGACAAGCAGAAATCCGAGATTTTCAGCACCTGTTGAGGTACAAGACATGGAGACAATTAACATTACTGAAGGACAGGATATGAGGACAGGAGACCAATGTAGTTTTGAGAGGGAGAGGAGAAGTGAGGAAACAAATGTTGCAACTGTGGATGAGGGGGATGTAAGGATGGAAGAAATGCTGCAGGTAGCAAATGAGATACAGGAGAGGAAACATGTGGCTATCCAGAAGATGAACACTAGGATTAGAAGACAACTTAAGCCTCCAAGCAGGAAGAGGCCTCCTTTAGGTGATTCGGATGGAGAGGTCAGGAAAATAGAGACTAGAGGAAAGAGGAAAACGTTTAAAGAGGATACTGATATGGAAGAAGCTGACGGTGAGTGCTTGAATTTAAAAAGAAATAAGAGGGATCAGTCTTTGGAAATACATTTAGAGATTGCTGAAGGTGGGAGGAGGACCAGCCTTAATGGGTCCCCAAGTGGACAATGAGGGTGCTGGTGTGGAATTGCCAAGGTGCAGGGAGCCCCTTGACAATTCCCCAGCTGAAGGAGGCTTGCAACCTCCTCTCCCCAAGTGTTGTTTTCTTATGTGAAACTAAGAATAGGGACAAGTATATGGAGACTGTTAGGAAAAGGCTGAATTTTGATCATGGTGCGATTGTAGAGTCTATGAATAGATCTGGGGGATGGCCCTTTTTTGGAAACAGGAAGTGAAAATTACAGAAATACATAAGACAGCTTTCACCATTGAGGCTCATATAGTGGACCACAGTCAACATACGAACTGGTGGCTGATTGGTATATATGCAAGTTGTGATGCGGCAACTAGGAAGAATCAGTGGGAAGTGTTGAATGCAAGGAAAAGACTTTGGGGCCAAAGGTGGATTGTTGCAGGAGATTTTAATGATATAGTGTCCAATGAAGAGAAATGGGGAGGAAGACGAAGAGAGGAGTGGACCTTTAGAGATTTTAAGCAATTCATTGCTGATAATGAACAGATTGATGTAGGTTTTGATGGAAATCCTTGGACTTGGTGTAATAACTGGGACAATGCAGGAGAAATTAAACAGAGGTTGGATAGAATGCTTTGTACTCATTCCTGGTTCCAGATTTTTGACAAAACAAAGTGCAAACATGTCGACAATTACAGCTCAGATCATAGTATGCTTATGGTTGATACTGAACCTGGAAAAGGACAAAAGAAGGAAAAAAATTCATTTTTGACAAAAGATGGATTCAGCAAGAAGGGATTACACAAGTGATTGCGGAAGCTTGGAATTTAGAAGTGGAAGGATCAAGAATGTACCAAGTCACTAGAAAGATTTCTAATTGTAGAGTGGCTCTTCTGATGTGGAAAAATAGTTTTCAGCATAACTCTAGGAAAGAGATTAACAGAATCAAGGCAGACATGGAGAGGCTTAGAGAGTCAACTGAGTTTCACAAAGGTGCTATGGATGACCTTAAGACTCAACTTAAGCGAGCTTACTCTAATGAGGAAATGTACTGGTCTCAAAAATCTAGAGTTACTTGGTTGAAGGAGGGGGACAAAAATTCACAGTTTTTCCATGCTAGTGTCAAAGGAAGAATGAAAAGGAATAGAATGGGTAATGTACAACGAGATGATGGCTCATGGACTTCAAATGAGAAGGAACTAGGAGAGGAAGTGGCTAGCTATTACCAACAACTCTTTGATAGTCAAGGCACTGTAGGTGTTGAGGATATCTTGAGGGGAATTCCAAACACAATTTCTGATTGAATGAATGCAAATCTAACTAGAACTGTCACTGAGGCTAAGATTAAGTCTGCACTTTTTTCTATGAATCCCAACAAAGCCCCTGGGCCTGATGGGATGACACCTCTATTTTTTCAAACATTCTGGAGGGTTATCAGGTCTGATGTTGTTCCAGCTATACAGAGCTTTTTCCACTCAGGTTTTATGCTAAAGTCCCTCAACCACACGGTTGTCTCTTTGATTCCCAAAGTTGAGATGCCAATCAATCTTAAACAGTATAGACCCATAAGCCTTTGTAATGTTTTGTATAAAATTATTTCCAAAGTACTTGCCAACAGACTTAAACATATTCTGGACTGTTGTATAAGCAAGAACCAGGCAGCTTTTGTTCCAGGGAGACAAATTTTAGATAATGTCATTGTGTCCCATGAATATCTCCATTATCTGAAAAACAAAAGACAAGGTTCAGTAGGGTGTATGGCTTTAAAACTTGACATGGCAAAAGCCTATGATAGGGTTGAGTGGAAATTCTTAGATGCAATCATGCAGAAATGGGATTCTCAGAGAGATGGATAAACTGGATATGGCAATGCTTATCAACTGTCTCATACTCCTTCAAGATTAATGGTGATCAGAAAGGCTTTGTCACTCCCAAGAGAGGGATAAGACAAGGGGATCCTCTATCCCCCTATTTGTTCTTAATCTGTTCTGAGGGTCTATCAAACCTGTTGCGAAGAGCTGAGGCAAGCAAACTGATATCAGGTATTAGTATCAGTCGAAGAGGCCCATCAGTATCACATTTGTTCTTTGCTGATGATACTTTAGTTTTTTGTAAAGCCAGCCCAGATCAAGCTGAGGAACTCATGAACGTTCTAGTCACATATGAAAGAGGCTCTGGTCAGATGGTAAACTATGACAAATCATCCGTGTTTTTCAGTAAGAACACACCGGAGGGGGAGAAAGTTTGCTGTTTGCAGAAAGTTAGGAAATGTCCAAATGGTAAACCAAGGTAAATATCTTGGACTACCTACGGTCATTACAAGGACGAAGGAGCAGCTGTTTGGTTTTATCAAAAATAATTGCCAACAAAGGATGGCAAGCTGGAAAAATAAAATGCTCAGTAATGCAGGGAAGGAAGTGCTACTGAAAGCCATCACAATGGCCTTGCCTACATATGCCATGTCCTGTTTTAAACTTCCAGGAAAACTCTGTAAAGATATTAGTGCTATGATGGCAAGGTACTGGTGGGGAGAAGACAAAGGAAAAAAGAAGATGCATTGGTGTTCCTGGTCAAAACTTACGAAGGACAAAGGCAGAGGGGGAATGGGATTCAGGGACCTGCAAAATTTTAATAAGGCTCTCCTTGGCAAGCAACTCTGGAGACTGGTAACATGCCCCAATTTATTGCTAAGTAAAGTTATGAAGGCGAAGTACTTCCCAGACAGATCATTATTCCAGTGTAAGGTGAGCCCAACTGCTTCTTGGGTTTGGAAGAGTATGGCCAGTGTTAGAGATGCAGTGGGGAATGGAATTTGGCGGAAAATTGGGGATGGTAGCAGTACTAACATTTGGAATGATCGTTGGATCCCAGGTAACAAAGGAGGGACACCTACTACTCCTAAACCCCAAAGTTGCTGCCTAAACAAAGTGAAAGAACTGATAACAAACTTCAGGTGGAATAGACTACTGATTTTCAATACTTTCAATGGCAAAGATGCTGAAGAAATCCTCAAAATCCCAATAAGTGTGGCAGGAAGGGCAGATAGCAGTTACTGGATAGCAAGCACCAATGGAAACTACACTGTGAAGTCAGCCTACAACATGTTGGAGGGGGAGGAGAAAACTACTAATATTGGAAGCGGAGTAGCTGGATGGCAAGGGGAAACCAGCTTTAATGGACAGAAGGAGAAAGACTGGAGCAAAATGTGGAGACTGGACATCAAGGGTAAACACAAGACTTTTCTTTGGAAATGTCTGAACCAAGCTCTACCAGTGAATGAGCTAATATACTGCCGAACCAGAATGGGGGAACCAATTTGCCAAATCTGTGGCGCAGGAGAGGAAACCATAGAACACTTGTTTTTCTTTTGCAACCCGGCAAAGGAAGTATGGAGGTTCGCACCAGTGCAGTGGGATGGCATTGATGACAGTAGAGGCAATTTCAACAAATGGTGGAGTGGTCTAATGGAAGCAACAAGCAGAAATGAAGGGCACAAGCACCAAGCTCTTACTGTGAACATTCTCTGGCAACTGTGGAAAGCTCGAAATGAGAAGGTCTTTAACAACAAGTGCAGGACTCCTTTTGACATTGTACAGAAAGCTCATCTAGAATGGATAGAGTACACTGAAGTGAAAAGTAGGGAGAAGCGGGTGAGCAGCCAGGAAACATCAGCTAGTGATGAAGAGGGACCGTGCGACTTTATACACAGCAACAAGATGACAATTGAAGTGGAGGTGAGCCAGCTGAAGGAAAGCAAAATTGTTGGCATTGGCATAGTGGCAACAAAAGACAACAATGTGCACGCTGCATGGGCCATGCGAGACAGAAGTACAGGTGACTTTTTACTGGATTATTCTGCTGCGCTCAAATTATCATTGTGCAAAATTAGACAAAAGCCTTGGCCAGATGTTAATCTACTAGTTTCATCCGCTCAGTTGTTACGAATGCTGCGAACTCACAACACACAAGACATCAGACTTTTTGCTCAATTAGAAGATATTCACATGCTCAAAGCTTTGTTTATGAACTGCTCATTCAGCTTGGCTGAAAACCAGTGTAATAGATTAGGGAAAAGAATTAGCAAGTATGCTGCTACATTAGTGCAAGATGAGGAATATCTAAGTCCTCTGTGTCAAGCAACACAATTGTAAAGCTCGTGATGGGCCTTTGCTCAAGTTTGTATAGCTTGTTTTTGAAATCAACATATTTCCTATCATTTCCGTAAAAAAAAAATGAAACATAGATATAGCATGGAAAGGAAAATTGCTTCCATGTCCTCATTGTGAAAAGATATTACTCTTTTTAAAGTATTTGAGCTGTCATTTGGGTAGAGTTGGTCCGTGCTTAGCCTGTTTGGCCTGAAAATTTGAAGGCAAGCCTTGCATATTTTGAGCCAGGCAGAGTTTGAGCTTAAATGTGAGGTCTGATTAAATTATCGGCGAAGCCTGGACTTCACCAAGCTCAACATGACTAAAATCCAACTCTAGTAACTACTTATATAAATATTTATTTTATATGTGTATAAGTAAATAATTATATACTCCCTCCGTCCCATATATTTAATCATGTTTGGGAATATGTACTTTTTATGCATTGTACATTCCACCAAAAATTTTTTCCTTTTGTTCCATTTTTGCCCTTAATCATGTGTTAGTCAAAGTAAAAAGTAAAAAGTAAAAAGTAAAAAGCAATTATATCATATTTGTCTTTATACATCATTAATGAAGGGTATAAGGGAAATTTCTGAATATAAAATAGTTAGAAATGTCAAATATGATAAATATTTTAAAACAGTAAAAAAAGGAAAGTATGGTACTTTTAATGGGACGAAGGGAGTATAATAATATATAGTTTATAAGTTAGATATCATATATATTAAAATGTAACATCAAATATATAATTAAATAGTAATTGTGAGCTTGGGTTGTGCCTTGATATAAGCTTGAAACTCTAATATATTTGTCAGCCAAGTATGAGTTTCAAGACATCACATTTGTCTTTATGCATCATTAATAAAGGGCAAAAAGGAAATTTCAGAGTATAAAGTAGTTAGAAATATCAAACATGACAAATATTTTGGAACAGCCAAAAAAGAAAAATATGACACTTCCAGTAGGACAGGGGGAGTATAATAATATATAGTTTATTTTTCAGATATAATATATATTAGAATGTAATATCAAATATGTAATTACATAGTAATTGTGAGCTTGGGTTGTGCTTGATATAAGCTTGAAACTTTGATATATTTTTCTAACAAGTGTGAGTTTCTCATGTTGAACTGAATCCTGGATCTCGAGTTTTTACTTTTTACTTTACAAATATTTTAGGATAGCTAAAAGTGGAAAGTATAACATTTTCAATGGAATGAAAGGAGTATAATAATATATAGTTTATAAGCTAGATACAATATATATTAAAATGTAATATCAAATATATAATTAAATAGTAATTGCGAGCTTGGGTTGTGCTTGATATAAGCTTGAAACTCTGATATATTTGTTAGCCAAGTATGAGTTTCTCATGTTGAACTGAATCCTGGATCTCGAATGCCCGATTCTTCTATTTTTTTTGGTGAATGGAGTTTGGACTTGCCAAAATTGACTCGTAAAGCCTGATTCATACCCTAAAAAGTGTTGTTCGTTTAGGCGTTCTAATTGGATGACAAACAAGGAAAAGATTTATACGAACAAGCTTGAAAGATGACATCAAGCTCAAATAGTTAATCAGCGATAGCTGGACCAACTATTTGTGCCGACCTACCATGCAACCAAGAGCTCCAATGAATCTCAGTGATGGTTGTTGCACTCATCATATGTCATATCGCCAAAGTCCATGTTCAAGAAGTTTGCGAGATCATGAAACTTGAAACCTGCAGTTTTAGGAAATATGATGTGTCTCATAGCAACAATTGTACATGTCATGAGCTTGCTATCCAAGTTCCCGAACGAGGGAATTGCACTTAAAATCTGAGGATATGAAAGTATAATAAAGATACGGTTGGACTCAAATAGGTCTGAGAAATTAGTATTGTATGGTGGACATTCACTACGTTAGACCTTTTGATGACATGAGAATTTCTATCGGTACTAAGCATTAGTTGATTATAGAAGCTCAGAAGAACAAAGATACTGTTTTGGGTCGTTGCAAGACAAATGAGTATCTTGGAGGCATAATTTATGTCCAAATTAAGGTTCGAAAATGACGAGCGGGGATATGCACATAAAATTAAGTTCAATCTTGCAAAAATTTCTGTTTTGTAGTTAGGCTTGTGTAGCAAAGCTAGATGTTGATATTAATTGTGTTTGTGCATAGGGCTATATTGTAAGCCTATTGTCATAGACTCATGGCTGACTGACATTTGTGAGCTTTCCGTGTTTTCCTATTAAAAGTGCATTCTTTACCTAACATAAAACTGATAAAAAGTCCAGAATAAAGATTGTGATTAACTAGTAATCTCGTCTTGAAAAACTATTTTGACCTAAGTTTTTCTTAAATATAACTTTTTTATACACTGTCAGTGTAAATATTTTTTATACACAACATATTTAAATCATTTCACATAATATAAATTCAAATTTCAAATTCAAATCATGCACATGTGACATACATTCAAAACTATTAGTATAAAAAAATATTACACTGCAAGTGCATAAAAAATTAATCATTTTCTTAAAATGGGATAATCATGACCTAACAACAATGTTATCCTTATTTTGTCAAGGACAAATAACCATAGACCTACCGATGGACGTATCATTATTCAATCTATATAGGTTGACGATTTTATGCAATTGCAATGAGTTTTTGAATTTTTTCTTTTAGTATTATATGATCTTGTAAGGTTTGAAATCTTCTTTTGTAGCAAAAAAAAAAAAAGAAGAAATAACTTATTCGTAATAGGGAGAAACCGATCATATTCTTACTAACCTAGTAACCTTTTCTTTTTTGAGCACTAACCGAGTAACCTATCCCAAAGGCAATTTACCATTGCGATCTAGTTTTCTCTCTAGACCTCTTGTCACGGCAAGACATGTTCCTAAATGTTAAAGGTGTGAATTATCGTTACATATGACGATTTTTCTTTCCAATAACGCAATCAATTCCATTCAGACGGATAAGGCCAAAACTTGAGTAGATCCAATGGTCAGATTGGTGCTATACCATTTAATGGGATGGCGTGGCACAATTTAAGTCATTATATCTTTAAATACTGGATCTATTCAAGTGTTAGCCAATATAGAAAAGCATGAGGAACTTGTCGGCTAATGGTTGACGCGAAACTATGAAACT